CTCTCAGGGAGTTGGTTTTCACTTCCTGCGCTCTCGCTGCCTTTGTCTCCGCTGGACGCGGCTGAAGGCACACCTCGGGGGTGGCGGAGCGGGGGCACGAGGGGGACACTCCGCTCCCAGCATCGGTTTCACCTGAGACCGCGCAGGTGGGGGGCTGAGAGCGCGTGCCCGGGGATGGGGGGAGAGCGGGACACGACACTGGCCACCCTACGAAGGGCTGAGGCTTACCCCGGGGTGGTACGCACCTGGACACCCTCCCTCTTAGCTTCTCCTGTCTTCTCTCTCCCTTTAGGAAAGGCTGAAGGTCTCAAGGCGGTGAGGATAGAGGCGCCGAGATGGCTGGAGGGAGCCCTGCGCCGTGGTTTGTGCTCTGGCTCTACCTGGCGCCAGCCGTCGGCGAAGGGCAGGTGGGGAAACCCTTCGGGGAAACGTGCCTGGAGGAGTTTACGGCGGGGATGCCGGACTTGGTGCTGGATACGGACGCCTCGGTCCAGAACGGAGCCACGTTCTTGTCGTCCCCCATAGTCCATCGGAGCAGGGAGTGCGTGAGAGCCTGCTGCAAGGAGCCCGCTTGTAACCTGGCTCTGGTGGAGCAGGACCCGGGTACGGACGAAGACCGCATTCGGGGCTGCTTCCTCCTCAACTGCCTCTACGAGCAGGCTTTCGTCTGTAGGTTCGCCGAGAAGCACGGCTTTCTCAACTTCTTGAGGAAAGACGTCTACGAGTCCTACCTGGCGATGCAGGATCTCAGACCTAGCGGTAAGGTGCCTGGAATGGATCTGTGCGAACAGCGGGGTGGAAGAGCACTAATGGCCACCGGTGCCGGCTCCCCCCTCCTCCAGCTGTAGTTTTGTGCAGCCATGCTGCCAAAGGGTTAGGATAAAGTGGTGTTGAAGATAGGTTTCTACATGCACCTCTGCTGCAAAGGTTTTCCCTAGCTTTGGTGAACTCACTTAAGACTTGTGCCTTAGTTTACCAATTATTAAATGGAGAGGGAATCATTCTTTCACCTATTTGAAGCAGGTGGAGCAAGTGTTTACCAAACACGGACTGAGTTTTTGATACTTGACAAAGTAGAGAAAAAGATACTGGTTTTCTTCTCCCTCCCCCCAAGGCCTTTGAGGTTGGAAAGTGAAATCTCTAAAAATCTACACATCACCATGTTTTAAAAGGCTGCATTAATCTCTTAATTGCTCAGGGACTAGAGGCAGGACACAATCCACTTACCTTTCATTTTGCCACAGCCTGAATCTTGTGAGCACCAGCCTGAATGGTGAGATGTCTCAGTATCACTCTGCTTGTAGAGGCTAGTTCTTGCTGTTTGGGAGAGGCTGATTAGAAAACTCCCCCTTTGGAGGCGGGTTTCTCTTCCCCAATCCCTGATTCCCTGCTCTGATTGATTACACCTGGACCCAGAAAACCAAGTGGAAAACAAACTAATTTGGAGCTGGCCACTTGCCACATGCTCTGCCGTCGGCGAGGAAGTGCGATGTGTTCAGAAAGGCTGAAAACATGGCAATTCCTCCTTTTGCTGCCTCCTTCTGTGTTTTGGAGGAAGCCTAACGAGTTTTGGAACGCTCTGCCGTCGGTGAGGAAGCGCGATGTGTTCAGAAAGGCTGAAAACATGACAATTCCTCCTTTTGCTGCCTCCTTCCGTGTTTTGGAGGAAGCCTAACGAGTTTTGGAGGAAGCCAAATGAGACCAGGATGTCTGTAGCCTGGCTGAGTCTTTGGCAACCATAACCAGTTTATTGTACGTTGATGCGCAGGCCGGGCTGTTAGGGGATATCTGTACGGGTAGTCCCCCTCATGCCCATGCATGACAAGGACAGAAAGGATCTGTGAAGGTGACAAGCAGCCGGTTGGGCACATGGGCTTAGGCTGGACTGTGTGAGCTGAATAGGTCTTTGCTCTTCTGCTGGGATGTGCCAGCCTGCAAGGCTTGTAGGTGCTGGAGGTGGGAAATGGCACCAAACCCCACATGGACCACTTTCATCCATCTTAAGTAGCAGCACAAGAGTTTTGGAGGAGGGCACGGCTCCTCTGGAGCAGCCCTTGGGTGTCGCTCATTTGAGCAGCGATGTGGCAGTAATGGTTCTCCTGTCCTCTGTCCCTGCTAGTTGCTTCCCACCTCATTTTAGGGCCTTCTGGTAAATCTCTATCTCACTGTTGCGGTAGTTGTCCTGCGTCTCCATTCCAGGCTCAAAATCCTTTCCACGGGAGCTGCAGTTAGCGAGGAACTGAAGCCCACATCTCCAGGACTGGAGTTGGCATGCTGGCAGCTGGCTGAACTCCTACATGCTGTGTTGTAGGAGGAAAACGGAATGCATCATGTCCAGTACATCCTGATTTCACAAGATTAGATTAAAATACAATGAACTGTTGAGCAATTCAGTCTCTTCACCTCAGTGGACCGGCGCCCCGTACAAGGAGACCGCAACCCCCCTCCTTCCTGGACTGGTTGCAGGGCCTGGCATGGCATGTGTGCGAGTCTCTAGAAAGTGTCCCTGGGTCACTGAACTCTCCATGCCACCAGCAGCGCTGTGTTTGCCGCTCCATGGTGCCTGGCTGGAGCGTTCCAGCCACCGATACACAGGTGCTGCCTTGCAGACCATCTCTATGGCTACTTTCACAGGTGCTGGGATGGCTGCGGTGGAGCAGGAAGACCCGGGAGGGCTTATCAGTGAGAAGTGGAAAACACGCCAGCAATGCTGTTAGGGATGCTCTGCTGAGAGCCTGCCGAGGCGGGCTTGCCCCTCCTCGCTCACGTGAGGCTTGCGCCACGATACCGCTGCAGGTGAAGGAAGGGCTCGGTCCCTTCTACACCCCGTGTTTGCATTCTGGGAGGGCACAGGGTGCCAGGCAGGTCCCCGGCCATATCGACAGGTGCTGGGAGATTCGCTGCTCCGTGTTTGGATCAGGCTGCAACGTTTGTGCTGTGCATCAGTGGGAAATGCTTTTCCCTCCTCTCCTGAAATTTTTAGGCATTGCCTTTGACTGATACCAAAAGCTTTCTGAATCGCCTTGAATGGCATCAGAGGGCTGACAGGAAAAGAAACGAAGGACTATTACTGTTTATTAATCCAGAGCTGAAAAGGTCGCTGCTCCGTGTTTGGATCAGGCTGCAACGTTTGTGCTGTGCATCAGTGGGAAATGCTTTTCCCTCCTCTCCTGAAATTTTTAGGCATTGCCTTTGACTGATACCAAAAGCTTTCTGAATCGCCTTGAATGGCATCAGAGGGCTGACAGGAAAAGAAACGAAGGACTATTACTGTTTATTAATCCAGAGCTGAAAAGGAGTTATTTTACTAGAGAAATAGTGCGTAATAACAAGGGCTGAATCAGACCGTACGAGCTGGGACGTCCTTCCCCCAGCAGATGATGAGACGCTTAAGAATGCAGATCTCGATTGTCGTTCAGATCCAAGCAAAAAAATTCCAAAACAGCTGTGATGCTGGAAGCAGGTCCGCGCCAGAGAAACGGGCCTGCCTGGGCAGGCCGGCGGGGGGCTAAAGGAGAGGGGAAGAGCACAAAGGTGCAGGTGCAGGAGGCCAAATTAAGGAGCCTCTGGGCACTGAGCATGTCCACCTGGCAGCAGAAGGAAGCTCTACAGCATTTTTACTTCCAGACCTTGGAGGATGCCTGAGGAGGCCAAGTGAACCAAGTGTTAAGGAAGTGGTTCTTGGCATGTCAGATTTTCCTCCCAAATGTTTATAGGCAAAAAATTTTGGCCCAGGCTTTGCATCAGAGGCACAACTCTCTTAGTCTTCCCACTGTTGTGCTGTATTGCTGTTAAAACATGAAGCTTTGTGGCTGCTCTGGTGCCTGGGCTATTGTCAGTCCCCTGAGACTGGGCTCTGAAGGTCTGCGGGAAGCTTATATGCTGCTTTATCATCCATCCCGTTCCTTTATGTGCTGCTGTCTGATGTCCTAGAAGCCTTTAGGGTATGCCTGTGTGGCAGTCTCCAGATGTCCTCTGCAATAATGAAGAATGAAAGCATGTTTTTTTCTGATAAGTAGTGAAATATATATTTAGCGGTCCCAGTGGGTGACATTGAACAAAAAAGCCACATATTGCAAGACCCACAGTACTACTAGAGGGAGCAGACCTGTTGAATTGAGAGGTTTGTATCTGTTCAGGAGGAGACTAGCTAACGCTTGAAAGAGAGAGTACAGCTTGGGGCTGCTGAACAGACAGCGTTGGAGCGTTTCCTGAGCCTGGTAGAAGTAGCTGAAAGCTGGGAGAATGTTATGGGGGAAAGCATTGCGTATTGCTTGTATGCTCTTGCTCTTGCTTGAGCATCCACAGTGAGACTTGGAAAATGGATGCAGGGATGGAGGCGTCCTTGATCTGACCCACTGCAGCCACTCTTACGGTATCAGGACTTCAGAAAAACCTGTGGGTACAGGCAGCAATGACTCCAGCTGAAATCTAGCTTCTGCAGATCATCTGAGTATATTTTCAGTATTTTGGAAAACACGAGCTTCTGAGTCCTGTATAAACTGGTGACGACAGCTTGGCTCTGTCTCTCACCTGTTCCAGCTAACGTACATCCCGGAGTCTCTGATGTTATTGTTGAAAGGCGGTATCCTCTTCAATGATTCCCAGCCTGAACTTTGATGCGAGTTTTCTGCCTGGCTCATGTGGGAGAGGCAGGCTCACCACGCACTTTATTGGTAATAATGGAGCCCAGTGTTTAAGTAACTACCCCGAGCTTATTCTGGTCTAGGCAAACCAGTTCTGTGTGTGAAACTGGAAAATAACCTCCCTGAACCTTTGTCCGTTTCTTGAACTGAATGTTTTGTGGTGGTTGTGAAATGCTCAGTGACACTGTTCTCCGCCTGTTGAATTCAGGGCTTGTGAGTGGGAGACAGGAAGCGCTGGGGAAACCGTGGGGTTCAGGATCTGCCTGCTCCTGCCTCACCATGGAGAGAGATTTGCAGGTTCAAACTTCAGTAATGCATTCAAAAAGGAGAGCTCCCCAAGTTTGAAGCTTATCCATCTTCAAAAGTTTGGTCCCATGCTGGTTTCTGTTTTGCAGGTATGCTGCAACTAAAATGAGCGGTGCTGGTATCCCTTCTGGGGCTGAGATGGGTCCGGTTACTGGTATCCCCTTGGCTGAGACAGCTGCTCAGCATCCTCCAGTGCCCAGCTCAGGCCGGGAGAGAGGGAATTGCACGTTCATGGATTCAGAGACTAGTGTATTCTGGAAGGGCCCCTGGAGACCAGCTGGCCCATCTCCCTCATGGGAGCGGGCAATAAGCAAGTTCCACTCACTGTGGAACTACTGTTTGTCACACAGAATTTACTGCAGTGCCGCACATTGTGGCTACCTCACGTCGTGGCTTGGAGCTATCTAAGGAGACCGGAGCAACAGACCGATCTTTTCTAAAATGGCATGAAGACCCGTGAGGGACTCTTTCCCTCGGCCCGCTAAAGCAAACCAGACTGGTTTCCCACACTGTGAGGAGGGATGGAAGGAGCCTGGGGCAGCAGCAGATTGCATTAATTTGAAAATGTAGTTCTTTCAGCCGTGCTGTGTTGTTTTAGAGCAATTAAGTTGACCTGCTGTCTGCACCTCTTACAAATCTCTACAGATAACTCTAGAAATTAATGCTGAGAGCTACTTGGCTCTGCATGAGTTTTCCAAAAACTATATGGCTTTATCGTGATGGCATTTGCCACCCAATCAGGATGAATCCCGACAGAAAGAGCTCGTTATTTCTCTTTCTCTTGGCAATGTCTTACATTGCCTTGTTCCCTTCTCCCTCTTCCCCTTCTCCAGCAAAATAGTGCTGTGGCAGCAGGAGCTTCCTCCCTTACCTTTTCCTGTTCCTATGGAGAGTTTTCTCATGTTGATGGGTGAGATTTGAATGAATCCTTCCTGAAAGCTGTTTGCTTTTGAATGATTTCCTTGGAAACAAGGTTATAACAAAGCTTTTTGCATTTGGGGGTAGAGCCACGCTGCTGCCTGCCCCAGCTGCCTTCCAACATTTGAAATCTCCGAGGCTGTGTGTTTCATGGACACTGGAATTTGGGTGGCCTCATTTCTGCTCCCATCTCTACTACTGGCCTGCCCGGTGGCTTTGAGCAGCGGCTTTTGTCCCCAGTGAAGTCCTGCCCTCTGCAGTGCCCTGTGGCCGCAGACAACACCGGGCTGCAAGACCCCCTCCAGTGACCGTGAGAAAGCTTCCCAGCTCTTTCTAATGGCAACTTCAAATGATTCTGAGGTGTTTTCAAGCACTGCTTTACAGTCTCACGTACTTGGGAGTGTATCTGCATGAGCGCTGGAATGGAGGAAATCTGGTTTTCTGTGAATTTGTGTCTCGAGGGCAAGAGCTGATATCGAGCTCCAGAAGAGAAATCCTGAAGCTGGGAGCTTTGCAAGTGCTTTCTGCTGCAGGATTTCACTGGTGCCTGTGTGCTGGTATAGTGAAGTCTCTAGTGGGGTCTCTCCCCCCACCTAGACGCTTACTTTTGCAGCGCTTGTAGGAATTTAGTATCTTTTAGATTCCTGTTCCACCATCAACTTTGGTTCAAGTTTACTCATTGTTGGAGGTGAAGCCAGACAAAGCACTGGCTGCATAAAGCTTAAAACTAAACGAAATTTTTAAAAAGCATAAAACAGGGACTGAGACCTGAATACACAGTGAGCCATATAAATTTATTTTTAAGCATTTTGGACTTACTCTATCAAGCTTTTCTCCAGGATCATAAAGAAAAGATATTTCCCCCTCCAATGTGTTTTATAAATGGAAGCTGAAGGCGTCACTTAAGGATGTGACTCCAGGAGCATGTGTTCCACAGTAAAGAGCACGACGCAGAACAGCATCATCATGCTTTAATCTCCCTGTTAATTACAGAGTTTTACAGCAGAAACTTTCCATAGTCAAAAGAGCATTATAGCAAAGGGAACTTTTGTTTTTCAAACAGACTTTCAGAGCAAATCAAACCGAATGGAGAATCTCCCTTCCACGAGCAGTTTGTTGATACTCACTCTGACTCAGTCAGCACTCGGTTATGAAGCTCAGGTGGAGAACAGCCACGTTGCCACTGAAGGCTCCATATAGTCAGTGTGTCAGAAATGCTCCAAAGTCACTGAGCTTTCAGACATCCTAAGAAGAAAAGGGAGACACTTGAAAATGAAGTCCTTAATTTCTAGTGGGAGTTCCTCCTTGGCGGTCACTGCAGATAAGCAAATACTCTGACTATTTTTCTGGAGGTGAGGAGAGTCAGGGATTCTGGCTAATCAGAGGTGGGATCTGGAGAAGTTGCTGACCCCTTGATCAGAACCAAGCTTTTACTTCACCGTGAAATCCACAACCCCGAGTAACTAAATTGACCTGTGGAGAAATGTTTGGCCTGCAATTTATTTTTTTTTTTAAGTGTACATGCTTTAAAACATCAAAGAAAAATGCGATTTGGAGTTGCTGAGTTAATGAGCAGCCTCTGTGTTGCTGAAGAACTGGTCTTTCCCTTGTGTGATTGCACCCATTGACTGGGCTCACCCTGGCAGGGGGGTGGCAGGAAGCCAACTGCTTTTCTCCCAGGCAGGCTCATGGCCTTTGCCTGGCAGGAATGGCAGGAACATGCTCCCTTTCCAGAGCTTGTAGTGCTGTGTACGAGGTGCTTCTGGGCTGTTTTCCCCTGTTCAGTTTGGAAGGTGTCACCGACTCCAGTCATGGCTTTTGCCTATGAATGTTCTCATGGCAGGACTACTTGAAAATAAAGAAAAACTCCATTTATTTGTTCTACTGGCCCTGCTCAAAGCCAAGAGTTGCCAGGCTCTCTTGGCCCTGCTTGGTGTTGTTCAGAAGTCTTTGTGCCTGACTGAGACAGGACCCATCGTTCTGGCATGCAGACCTGAGGGAGGAGGGACAGGGACATGGACATGTTCCTCACCCAAAGGCAAGAGGACATTGGAGTGGGCATCTCCGCTTGTGATGTGGGTGTCGTCTTCCTGGCCTCTTTCAGTCCAGCTGGGTTTGCTCTGCCTAGTTTGGTGGTTGGGTCAAGCTCAACAATATGAGCTCAATCCCGTATTGTTCCCACCCAATACTTCCACGAAAAGATGGAATAAAAGATAAAACCAGGGAGAGACTGCAGAGAGCACGCAGACTGCTGCGATAAATGTAACCAGAAGCCCTGCAGCTGTGCAAGCTGGAAGCAGCTGACCTCTTCTCAGACAGTAAAACCACAGCCTGGCAAGGAGGGAGGTAAGCTGCAGGGCTGCAGCTGTGGGGAGCAGGATGCAGGGGGAACCTTAGAGCTGGTACGCACATACCCTCCCCAATTCTGCAGCCAAACAGGCTGAGGGCAGTGCTCGAACCTGTAAACAAGGGAAGGTTTAATTCATCCGTGAGTTTCCCGTGGCAGCGGCGTTTGTAAGACCAGGAGAGAATGAATATGTCTTCGTTTGGTAAAAGATACTCGAAAATAGAAGAATCTGGGTGGATTTGTGGTAACTGATCTGGAATACGTGTTGCAAAGCCCTCTCTCCTGCTGAATTTAGTGATGAAAGAACTAAAAAGTAGCTTGTTTTCAATGTCAGGTTTTGTCTGTATTTGTGCCTTATATTGAAGGTCCCTTCAGTAGTCTCTAGCAAGAGTCAGCAGCTGGGACCTGAATCCAGAAACACTCCAACAGGAAATTAGGAGCAAGCCTACAACAGTGAAAATAATTAGCTATGGAGTATTTTTCTAAGGGGTTTAGGCACTAATCCTCTTCTTCAGTCACAGTCGATACAGCAGCGTAATAGCAGAGTGGTTTATATCTGGCTTATAAATGGCGATCGATGCCTTTGCAAAAGACTCGGGTTGAACTTGAACGTTGAGCCTTGGACTTGGTACGGGCGCTGCCAGGTGGAGTTTTATGGGCCGAGCTATGCAGGAAGCCTGCGATCGGAGACGTTCAGGCCGAAAGGAGTTATGAGTCAGGCTCAATGGCGTCATTGTAGGGGCTGTTCTTGCTGGCATGGATAGGGATCGGTTTCCAGCTTACAGTCTGGAAAAGCGTTCAATGGGTCATGGAGGCTGCTGGTAAGCTAATCCATGGAATGGCACAAAAATAACCATCTCCTGAATGGCATTTGTGTCCTTTTTTTAAGGCATGTATGTCAGAGAGCGGGGTGGAAGATGAGGTGGAGGAGGGGTGTTTCCCATCCAAATCTTGCATTGCATAGCTCTGGTTAAGTATGCTAACACAGTGCTCAGAGATGGTGTTAGGAATGATGAGAGTCGGTCCCACATTCTTCAACACCCACACCAGGTCATCTCCCTAAGTGGAGGGTGGAGATTGCTCTGTGCTGTTTTGTGAGGATGTGGTCTGATGGTCAGAAGCACAATGGCTGTGGCCACAGGGACACCCTCTCACCTCAGTTCCTGTAGGCAGAAGTGGCCAGGGAGCCATCTGGCTCAAAGGCATTGCCACAGTGGGTTGCAGAGTTACTAAATTAGTGAGGACAGTAATAACGGTATTGATTGCCTGTTGCTTGCTCAGGCTGCAAGAAGCACAGCTGCATAAAAGTGTTTTCCTTTCAGTGCTTGAAGTCCGTATTGATTTAGCCTGGAGGAATCCTCCTCTCTTGTCTTCTTGTAATGGAGACGAGGACCAGACTCTTCAGCCTCTTACCCAAGCCTTGCTCTGCATTTCTTCTGCAGATGACCGTCCTCCGATAGCCCGCACTGCCATGGACATGAGGGTACAGCCTGGGGAACCAGTGATGCTGAGAGGCATAGAGAGCACGGATGACCGAGGAATAGTCAGCTATGACTGGAAACAAGTCCTTGGCGACCCCTCCGTGGAGATGAAGGTAAGGAGCTACAGGAAGGAAGCAGCTTGCTCATTGTCACCTGTGATCTGCACTAGGTCGGGCTACCACAGCCACTGACTTAAAGGTTGCCTTGTCCTTCCCACCTCGTGCCAGTCCACCCACGAGCCTGTTTCCAAAAGCTGTGGAGCACTCCCCGCGATTGCCCCCTCCCTCTCGCACACTACCAGGATGTGACGTTTCAGGTCTTGGTCTCCCAGCATCAGGATGCCATCTCAAACCTTCCTGAGCAACACCTGATCTGCCTGGGTGGGAGCAGCCCTGCAAGAGCTGCAAGAGCTCTTGGAGCCTCTGCTCCCGAGCTCCTGTAGTTCAGTGAGGCACCCACCCTTAGTTTTCCTCTGCTCCACTTTGGTGCTTTTTCTCCTCTAGTTCTGAATAATCAGTCTCAGGATCTACTTCTGTTCTTCTGGGGCTTTTTCTGGACTTTGCCTCTCTTTAGAGTATAGGTTCCTCCTCCTGTTTTAGTTGAGCTGGAGCAGAAGTCACGTCTCCTGACTGGCTCCAAGATCTCTGGGATGTGAACACTGTATCTTACAGATGTTAAATGTGAATTGTGGCTCTAGGAGAGCAAACGATTACTGTTAAACTTCTGCAAAATGCTCTGGATAGCCTTGGACCTCGTATGGAGCTCTTGTGGCACCTTTTGGAAGAATTAGTAAATAAGTGCCTCAGGCTTACACCTGATTTTGAAGACCAGCAATGTCTGAGTGCTGAGGGGGTATGGAAACCTGGAAGTGCTCCTTCCCTTTTCCCTTCCCTCTAGCCTAACCAAAGCAACTTTCAGGAGAAAAAAGAATGAGTTCTCTAGTCTTATGCTTCATTAACTATATTAAGATGATATATGGCAACACTATGTTCTCTCAAAACTTAATCAAAAAGGCCGATAGCATGGAAATGGAGGTCCAATGTTGTTAACAGAGATAGAGGAAAAGTTTGTGTCAATAATATCACAGCTTTCTACTCTGACAAAATAGTTCATTCTCTTTTAAAAACATCTCAGCAGGCAAAGAATTAGGCATTCATTTCCACCTTTAAAAATAAATATATTTGTCGTATTCAAAATGAACAAGTATATATTTCTTAAATACACCTAGCATATTGCCTATGTGCTAAGTAAATTATTCATAATCATTTTCATTTTTAAAGAAGTAAAATTAAAACTGAGGAATTTCAGTCCTCTCCAAAGGCTTTTATTTTTCCACATGCCTTCACAACATCCCAAAATATAAAATTTATAATTAGGCTTGTGGTATCTTTTATCTCTGCTATTCCATAGATTTGTGGGGATTGTATAGCACTGAGATGTTTTTAGTGCTAGACTTCTGCTTGGGGGTTTCCAGCCAAGCTCCTTCTTTCCTAGTGCAGAAACGTGGGCTGTATGTGGCTTCACTCACTCCCTCATTAGAGGTACCTTCTGCATAAGCTTTTCTTTTACATTCTCAGAAGCACGAAGAAGACCAGGTAGAAATCTCCAACCTACAGGCGGGGACTTATGTCTTCCAGCTTACTGTCACAGACACTGCTCAACAGCAAGACTTCACCAACATCACCATCATGGTGCTGAATTCTGAGCAGACTGAAGGTGAGCCTGAGCCCACAGACATCTACCTGAAGCCTCCAAGCCTGGGTGCTGCTCTGGCGTTACTGGTGCTCTTCTAAGAGGGGTAGATGGGAAAAGGGCACAACCAAGACACCACACTTGTGTGTCAACTTTCCCAGTAAAAGCCTTCACCTGGCCAGTAGGGAAAATCGTAGTGGTCTATTTTAGGGTTTTTGCATCCTCTTGCAGAAGAGGTGGCCTGCAAAAACCCCATCCTACCTACATGTCATTGCCCTCTGCTGGGTGATGCCAGAGTGGCCCAAGCCAAGGGTGCAGCTGAGGGTGTAAGACAGGAGAACCTGAAAGATCTTGTTGACTCCATGGTTTTGCTGTGAAGGCCCTAATTCCCTTAAGCGGCAGGATAGGTGGAGCTGTCTGCATGACATTCAAAGTGTCCCTGGCTTTATTTATGTGTTTTACTTTAATGGCTGCGTTTAATGATCAAAATGTTCATCATTACAAGTGCATTATGAGCAAGGAGTTCTTGGACAAATGGTTGACTAGTCCTAAGCAGGGAATTTCTCCTTCTATCACAAGTACCACAAAAATATAAGAACAGCCATATCAGGCGACTCTAATGGTCTGTCCAAAATTCAGTACACTGCATCCAACAGTGTCCAGAGGTTAACACTTTGGAAAGAGTACAAGAACATGACGTGCTGTCAATAAATCCCTACTGTCCTCAATAAATCCTCAGGCTGGTCCCTGAGGAATTTGCAGCTGGGAGAATTTTTTAAGCAGAAGATGGTGTCTTTGTGTTCAGCAGCCGTGGATGAATCCCTTTTTGACCTCATGTAATCTTGGCACAGCAGCAACATCCTGAAGCAAGGAGTTTCATAGCTCAACTATGTGCTGTGTGGAGAAGCAGCTCCTTTTGTTTTATGGTTGTGGCACCTTCTAATTTGATTTTGTGACCCTGCCTTTCATATGAGAAAATATATACCATGATTCCCTACTCAGCTTTTTCATGCCACTCAAGATTTTATAAATCCTTCAGAGTTCCCTTTGGAAGATTTCTCCTTTGTATACATGAAGGCAAAGCTAGCTAACCAAAGCCTTTTATGTTAACTTCTTTGATAGAGCATTGTTTGACTCCTAAGAAGGTGGGTTGGTGTCGGGGATCTTTTCCACGTTGGTTTTACAACCCGAGTCTTCAGCAGTGTGAGGAGTTCACTTTTGGCGGCTGCAAGCCCAACAAGAATAACTACTTGCGGGAAGAGGAGTGTAAACTTGCCTGCAAGAATGTTAGAGGTGAGTCTGTGTCGACAATCAGCCTCCTCTTTCTCATAGGATTGGGATGACCCTGTGGGCAGGTGCTGCAGCTTCTTGGCTGGCAGCTAGTTAGAGTCCAGAGAGCTGAGGAGACCGGGCTAATTATGGATGGGGAGTCCTGGTCTTACACTGCCAACATATCTGACCCAGCTCCTGGGGCACTGTTCCCCTGGTCCGTGTCCCTGGTGCGTCTGGCTGCAGAAACCCTCACCAAATCTCCATGTCAACATCTGAAACCTAAACTCAGAGGGTAGCATTGTGTTGCGGGGGAGCCAGAACTGCTTCACTCCCCAAATTAAATGAATCTTCTCCTTTGGCACTCTCTTAGCCAAGTCTGAGAATAACTTAGCACCACCTCAGATAAATGGGCTGAGCCTCTGCCACGCCCTTTGCAGTGCACAGCTTAAGGAAGGAGGCAAAAGCCTCCGAAAAGAGAGACCGTTTGGGCATGGTCTCACTAGTGGTGGGAAGTTCTGTGCTCCTCCGGGCCTGCTTCACTTGGGTACTGCTCATCTGGGATCTCTGGGTGATGGGCACCCATATTTCCCCTCCCTTACACCCAACAGGGCTTCCAGAAAATATGTACTTCTTGGGTGAGATATGAAAGCAATAGAAAGCCGATCTTGAGCTGACAAAATGATGTGTAAACATTTTATTTTTCCCCTTGCCTTTTCAGGTTCTGTTGGTGGGCGACAACAGCCAGGTGAGCCTCCTGTACTGCTGTGTAATCCTGCTGTGAGCTCAGGCTCAGTGTCTCAAGTCCATTCCTGTGGCTTTTGATTAGCATTCAGTCAGTGTGGAAAGTGGGGCACTGGAGACTAATTTCTTTACTAAGCCTTTCACTTTCGTGTCATAGGATAATTCAGGTTGGCAATTACCTCTGGAGGTCATCTGGTCCAACCCACTATTCAAAGCAGAGCCAGCTTTTTGTCATGTTGGGTTGCTCAGGACTGCATCGAGTCCAGTTCTGGATATCTCTGACGAAGGAGATTTACACTTTCTCTAGTCAGACTGTGCCAGCGTTTGATGACCCTCGTTATAATTTTTTTCCCCATATATCGAATCACTTTCCCTTGTTGCAGGTCTTGTCTCTTGCTGCTCATCCTTTTACTGTGCACCTCCAAAACAAGTCTGTCTCTGTCTTTTCCATAACCTCACACTAGGTCTTGTGCTCCAGCCCCTTGCTGAGTCTCTGCTGGGTTCACTCCAGTATGCCAATGTCTTTTGTGCCCTGGGGAGCTCAGAACTGGGCACAGCACCCAGCACTTGGGACAGCCTCTGGAGCAGAGGGGAATAACTGCTCTTCTCCGTTGGCTCTTGCAGCCCGGTGTGCAGGTTTCAGTTTGGCTTTCCTACTTTAATCCCCCATGGTTGGGCAGTGACTCCATATTCTTCCTGAGTAGTTCATTCTTGCTTCCACCTTCTGTGTATTTCTTTTTTGAGTGGAAGCATGGCTGTTCCCAGAGCAATGTTTCATGTCTAAACAAGAAATTATTCTTTTTTTTCTCTTTTTTTGAGTCCATGATGGCACTGAAGAGAGACCTTAACCAATCTGCCTTGTTTGGTGTTTGCCAGCCCTATCAGCAGTTTTTAAATCCTTCATAAAGCATCTGTGTGGCAGGGAGAAAGAATGAATTTTAATGAGCTCTCTGAACTGTTTCTGGTGCAGTGTGCAATGGGAAGTGTCAGACTCCCTTCTTCAGGTGCAAGGACGGCTGCTGCATCGATGCCTATCTGGAGTGCGACAAAACTCTCGACTGTGCTGATGGATCGGACGAGATGTATTGTGAACAATGTAAGTACTTCAAATTCTGGCTTAGACAACTTAGTATTCACTCAGGGATGAGCACAATGTAAGTTACAGGTGTTGACTCAATGGTTTTTGGTGCCTTCTGTTCTTACCTTCTGGCCCTGCATTACCTCTATCCACAGTATTATATTTGCAGGTTCTGCTGTCTCCCATACCTCTGCTGACTGCAAGAGCTGATCTTCCTTCTGAGATGTTTCCTGCCTCTTAAATACTCTTCGACTCTCCTCTCTGCACATGTCTGTAAGACTTCAGAGCCTGGCCTCCCCTCCCCTTCAGTTATTTTTGTCAGTGAATGACCTTACTTGCTCTCTTAGAGTTGGGAGATGGGAAATGAAACCATTATTTCTCCCAGTCTGTCCAGTGTCACAGTCCCCTTAACATCCTTATGTTACGCTAATGTAAATGCTCAGTGGTGAGCTGCTCAAGTCTGTAATCCTTCCCTCCTTCCCTCCTGACAGAATTCCCTCCTTCTCTCCTGGCAGAATTCCTATAATCTCTTTCTTATATGTGGGGTTTTTGTTGCCTTTTTGGGTTGCAAGCATATGATTGATCTCTCTTCCCCTGTGTTATATCCTACACTAGTGCTCTTTCAAATTTCTTTTAACCTGGAGTGATAGCAGTTTCCCCATACTTCTTGACAGAAAAAAAAACCCTAAGAAAGCAGCCTTTGTTTTCCTTAGTTTTGTCTCTGTATTTGTGAAATGGAAATTTGGAATAGTTTCTTCTACTTCATTTCATTTTTCCCGTGTTCTTCTCATAGCTTTGAGATATTTAAGAACCTCAAATTATATCTCTGTTTCCCTGGCTTGCGGTAGCAAGGGGATATGCGGGAAAGCCCTGTCTGCCCATGTCTGCATGGGCAGAGGCATTTCTTTTGTATTCACCTGGTGAAAGAAATTTTAATATGAAATGTTTCTCTCGCAGATGCCCGTGAGTTCAACAGGCTGCAGAAAATCAATGTCACACATAAGCAAGGTACGTATCGTCCAGAGCACCTAGGCTGACATCTACCAGCTTTTCTTTTTTTCTTCAGTCTGTTGTTTCGTGGCAAAACTGCTTCCCTGTATAATTCCAAAACCAAGCGTAGCTAAAATTGAGCAAGGGCTTGTTCTCTGACCTTGAGGACAGCTGTTTATAGCAGGCTTTCACTCTCTTGCCTAAACTTTTTCCACCCAGGCAGGTCTGTACCTGGCCTGTACAAAACCCTGCAGCACTTTTTTGGAAATAGCACAAACCAAAGCAGTGTAGGGGACACAACAGTGCCATAATATGAATAATCATACACCTGTGCTCAATCCCATACCTTGGCCTTGTTTGTACTATTGTGGACAGTGGCACTGGCACTGGGCTAAAAGAGTATATCCCACATCAGCTTAAATGCAGCTTGCTTGTAGGGGAGACCCAAGCCAAACTGTAGTTTCTGCGTGTCCAGGTTCTTCATGTTCCCTTCTGCCTCCCAAGAAGCACAGGTTGCTTCTGCAGAGGATTGAATCTAAGGTCTAGCATGACTGCATGCTCTGATGTACCTTTTTTCTCCTTGCTAGTTGGGTTCAGGTGGCAGCTCACCTTGGCAATGCCAGTTCTGGCCATGGATTCCCTCTGCCATGATGCTTGTGCTCTTCTGTTGTGAGCAGAAAATGTTGCCACTCTGAGAACACACCGCTTGGGCTAAAGTACCTCTCCCTTGATTTGCCAGGTCACTGTGTGGACTTGCCTGATGCTGGACAGTGCACCGAGAGCATCCCGCGCTGGTACTACAACCCATTCTTTGAGAAATGCGACCTCTTCACCTACAGAGGCTGTGGTGGCAACAAAAACAACTTCAAAGAAGAGGAAGACTGCATGAAATCATGTTCAGGCATCACAAGTAAGCAGACATAGGGAGGGCTGGAGTTTTACTGATCAAACCACGACAATCACTACAGGTTAAATTCCGTGGTCCCAAAGAAGCAGTGACTTGAGAGCTTTCAGTCAAAGCAGCTTGGCTCTCAAACCCTGGCCAGGCCTTACAGTGTTCTTCAGCTTGACCGATGGCTAAGGGGGAGCGGTGTGTGTCTACAGCATCTTTCGGCAATGCAGTCTGTCATTTCTCAGAGCTGGAAAACATTTTGGATGCTGATTTTGAAAAAGGGACAGAGGAGGATGACAAAAATAATCAGAGAGATTGTATGGCCTCTCTAAAGAGAATCTAACTTTCTAGCTTGGCTCCAGTTCTCCCCAAGTGGGAGGGAAGAAATTAAGGAAATCCTCAATGACACATACTAGGCTGAAGTTTTAAACAAACGAGGGAAAGGTTTACACTGTAGAGCTCTGTACATGTTGCTGTGGAGGCCAACAGCTGAAACAGGAGGCATTCTGTCAAACTGTGTCTGTTAGGAGGCAAACCGTTCCTGCTTTTCTAAAGAGCTGCCCTCAGCTACACTGTGCCTCACAGCCTGCCCTGAGAGCTCACCACCGGGACTGCTAAGAGGGATGCTGTATGCGTTCATTGACTTCAGAGCACTGGAAATATGCTCCTCAGAAACCTGTCTTATCTCTTGTTCCCAACCTTCTTTGTAAAACTTTTTTTTCCCCCTCTCTGCTCCCAATTCAGAAGCAGATGCCATTGGCCAGAGATGGGAATCACATGAGTCCCAAAGTGCTGTCTTAAGTGAGTAACAGTTTTTGCTACAGATCGTGCTTGTTGCTTTTAACCCTGTCCTGAAAAATGTTTTGTCTTTCCTTGCAAATAATAGCCTTCTCTCCCACCCCTGTTTTGAAGCTGAGGGAGCAATGTGGGATCTGTGGGATGCTAGCAGTGGCAAGAGACGCTTCTGCGTATCCATGGTCCAATTTCTCCTTTGTCTGTGACTCAGTAGCTCATAACAGAGGCTCCTGATTTTCCTTCCATCAACTTGCATGAGTGCTCCACTGTTCAACATCAAAAAAAGGGCAAGTAAAATTCTTCCTAAGGAACAAGTTCACATAAGTACCACTAACTTCTGCTAGAAAGAAGGCCCAAGTGGGTATGTGAATAATGTTGGGTGGTAGACTGTGGGGAAATCTGATGACCCTGTACACCCTTTCTACAACTGTAAAAAACCACCGAAGTTACTGAATTACAAGTTCTTTAAAGAATATGACATTAAGGTTGGTGTCCTTTCACCACAGAGCTATAAGGCCTCTTTCTTCCGTAGAGAACTCCTGAAACAAGGAACTTCTGTTCTTCAACCCTAGAGACCGATTTAATCTTCAAATTCACACCAGCTCTCAAATGCGTCATGTTTGACTGTCTCCAGTGATGGTGCAGGAGTTCAATTGGCTGTAGAGGACCAAGTACTCACAGCACAGCTACAAGCTCTTTCCCCACAAACTCAGCCTATCCACCATAGCTCGCTATGACAGCGTTATCCCCAACCAGGAAGTGTTTTTCTGCCACCACCTTTTGGTGGCCTCCCTGTTGACATATGAAGCAAGGCCAGCATTGCAGAAGGGCTTGATGTGGGTGTCAAATGGCCAAGGCTGCCGAAGTCACGGAATAGCCTTTAGAGGGCGTGGTGCATCTGGGAATAGATGGGAACCATAATTTGGGAGAGACAGGCTAGCTATACCATAGGCATACCCTTATGCCATGCAGTTGCCTTCTTTCTTCTTCGCCCAGTTGTGCAGTGACCATCCTGCTGTCAGGCTAGCTATCGCCCACCTCCTCTCTTTTGCCAGCACAGCTTCTGCAGTGGCTTTTGTGCTTGCTTCTTCCTGACCATTCCTT